CATGATGATTTTTTTTTTTTTTTTTTTTTTTTTTTTTTTTTTTTTTTTTTTTTTTTTTTTTTTTTTTTTTTTTTTTTTTTTTTTTTTTTTTTTTTTTTTTTTTTTTTTTTTTTTTTTTTTTTTTTAATGAAAGCTTTTGTGCTACTTGAGCTAAGAGAATTACTAGGCCGCTCTGGGTCACAGCGAGCTACGAATGGACATTTTACAGCGCCCACTCGAACAATTCGATGATCAACGAGAGTTGATCCAGGTAATCATTCGGCGTGTTTTCTGATCTCGAATTCGCAAAGTGATTTTCTGAATGATGTCCAGAAAATTATCCCCTTTCTCACAACTGAACTAGTTAATATTACATGGTCCAGCTCAAAAAAGAGAAAGATAGTCTAATATCTATACGAATGGGTTAGGAATGATACCGAAGAATCGGATCATTCCGTTCCTCATTGCGTTTTCACCATTCTTCCTGATAGAAGCGATTTATTGGGGTGACGTGGGCGTCACATCTTTTCTGGGATCCCATGTTCCGAGAACACTGCGATGAAATCTCCAGTTCTTGTCTCAGATTTTGTTCATTCATGAAACGCGCCCGCAGGAAACAGTTGTTCAAGATTTTGAGGCCCACAATAACTGATTCATCACCTTAAATGCAAGAGGAGAGGTGAACTTCATTTCTATCTCATCCATCTTGGTATAAGCAAAGTTGTCCAAAGTTGTCAATTGAGTATAAGCCGCACCTTATGGGGGCGAACCCTCACTTTGAACGCCACAAACGTTTCTCCCAAACTTTTGCTTATGCGTTTTGCGTGTTTTCGCTTGGAATCATTAAAGAATCGTTAAACAAACGTGGCGAAATCCACATATTAGCTCACCATTTCAAACATGAGAGTGCTTGATTTACACAGCTTACCGCCGCGATAAATGCATCGACTTGTCTACGCGAAAAACAAAAATACCTGATCGCAGAGTAGTCTTCTTGACCAGCTGTATCAAGGATATCGATTGAACACTCTTCCCCATCCAACACCACTTTCTTTCGATATGAATCTGCTTTTGTTGGTTCATACTCTTCGACGAACTAAAAAAAGACCTCTGCAAGTGGCTGACAAATCAGTGGAAATAGTATTTGCACAATTCCCACTAATTTTGTAAACTAAATATC